TGTGACAAGTGTTTTAGCTTCAGTGCTCATACACAAGTGAGGTTATTGTGAATCTTGAGTCTATTAAACAAAAAGTTAATGTCATGTTGTGGACTGATTTTCATTTTGTCACATGAAGTTGCCAGGCAACAAAACATTCTGTTTGTTGACTAAAATCTGTTGCATGATAAAATGGACTTAACTTGGGTTGCCATACTGAAGATTGTAGTAGATTACATTAGTAGTGTAAAGGGCATGCCAGTTCATTTTATATAACACCGCCACAAAGGTGAAGAAGGCAGCGATTTCTTCTATCCATTTCTTTTATATGTACTTCCCAAACCCCCTCCATCTTCCCTGGATCTCTCTCTCCCCTTTCGTCTTTCGTCTCTGGGAGTATGGGTGCATGTCAAGTGATTGTTGAATTGAAATATTGATGTGGAGTATCAAAGCGTGGCGTAGCACTCCTGTGTTTCCAGAACTAACCACGAAGCGCTTTGATCAGATACTCCTGTGATCTGACTTCTGAAGTTGTTAAGAGTGCTGGAAAACAAAATGCAAACAAACTTCAAGTGCTCTTGGTATTGATAAAAGTTTTCTTTGACAAGTGGAGATGCGTGCTGTCTGCCTGTGTCTGCCCAAGACTGGAGATTTTGGGGTTTTTGTACATGCTAATGGACAAGAGATTAGGGAATTATGATAGTTTTCTACTTCTCACACACCTAGCAATGTAAACTGTAGTACAGGGGTGGGAATCATCACAGAATCTTGCTGTGATATCATGGAGTAATGCAAAACTACTGCAATTGTGTGATTTATGCTTTCATTTTGTTACAGTCTGATTACGCGTAAAATGATTTATCATTTTTATTTTATTTGCAAACTAAGAGGCTAAATCATAACCTTAAATGAAATCCTTTTAAGCAATTAGTATGCTTATAACCAAAAACTAAGTAATTCATTAATTACTTAACTGATCTTTAAAGCATTTTGGAGATTGAAGTACTCTTCCAAAAAAAATTATTAAATGATTGAATGATTTAATTGAGGTATTCCCCCAGAATTCATTTATCATTGTATTATCCCTGTGTGTTTAGAAGCAGAAGAAGGAAATCAGTTGTTTTCATCCGTTTTTCCATCATCTTCTTACAAACAAATTTACATTTTGCTGAATAAATATGAACTGTAGAACGATACCTAGGAGCAGAGGTCAATTTGAGGCTAGCTGAGAGACGGGTTTTTAAAAAGAAGACAGGAAACAAAGTGGGTGCAAGTGTGCAGTCATGTGGGACGACATATCTGCACAGATGAGGAGGCACAACTGACGAAATAACATGTCGTGACTAAAGTGAAAAGTTTCAACATCGCGCCGTGATCGATGTGCAAATTCTCTTAAGTGCTGCTGAGGAAGGCGCATTAGGCTGCAGAGGTAAACCTTCTCAATCAATGTGCCTGATTGTAGACATTAATCTCTTTTCAATATTTCTCTGTGCACCTCCCTGACAAACACTCACACACTGACACACACATTTCTAACTCAATAGGAAACAGGAAAGAGACTCCTGAATGAGGTATCAAATTGTTGCACTGTAAAGTCCAGCTGTTGGTGTTGCTCCTCATCCCAATGAAACTGAGTGTCATGGTAATTAGGCCCCATCTTGTCCTTGGATTGCTGAATGGTTAAAGAGTGAAGCACTACAGTTAGCAGCAGGCTTTTACATGCTGTCTGTCTCATCCATTAGGCCACATTTGTCACATGAGGGCCATTGAGTCTGAACAGTGCTGTAAAATTGGCTTTTTGACATGGCCACCAGTACAAAGGCTGCTCTCCTCCATGGCTGCCCTTTTCGAGTGCAGATGGTCAAGACAGCTGGGACAATTTAGTGATCTGAGGCTTTTAAACTGCCCCCCAGGCATGATAAAAACAGCTTGAGTAGCCACTTGCATATTCTACGTTCTGAGTTTAAGATTATGTCTGCAACACAAACAACACCATTTGTTTTTTACAGTGAGCAAAAGGACTAAAAACTCTTCCAGGATCGTGAGATTTCAGAACGTTTAACCATCACAAAAAGCCCTGTTGAGTTTTAATGTCTATTTTTTTTGGATGTATTTCCTTTGTTTTTCCTTTTAGAAATATGTGCATTAGAGTGTCTGCATCACCTTGTTGGGATTTAGTCTGTGTCAGTTTTGAAGTCGAATTTGTTGGTAGCCACCCAGTCAGAGCTGCCTGCAATATATGACGGAGCGGGCCTGATTACCGGCAATCTCACCAGCTGTTTAATGAACACAGGGACCTCTTTCTCTGGAAATGAGTTTTCCCTTGAAAACTGTGGAAGCCGTATCCAGGTCTATTTAAATGAGGTAACATGGGGAAGGTAAGCACCACCACATGAGCATTGTTTTCACAGTTCAAAGTGAGGAGAGAGTACTTTGCACTTCAAAGCCACTCATCTGGGAGGCAGTACAGTGGGGGTGGGGTGGCGTGGGGGAGAGGGGACAGGAAATAAGAATCAGGGTAATTAACAACTTCTGCTCTGTAATAAACCAGAGACATAGTATACCTCTGCCTCCAAGATACACTCCTATTTCTGTGTCCTCCTCTCTCTTTTCCTTTACTACTGTTTTCTTTCATCCTAAATGTTCACTTTAATTTGGAATTAGACAATTTTCATCAATGCTGTTGAAGTTACATCATATTTATTAATATTTGCATGTTAGATTTGTAACATACACAATCTTTGCATTTTATGTATTTAAATTAATTGCAGTACCAACATGCAGATGTTTACCCTTTCTGAAATTATCTTGTTAAATTTGTATTTCAAGCCAGCGGCATTCAACATTTGGGTAATTCTAATTAATTAAAATGCATCTTTATTAGCTTTGTTGCTTTTGATTTTTCTGAAAATTAATCTGGTAACATCTTGTAAATATTTTTTAGCAAGAAGTTTTTTCCCCCATCTCAAAAAAAGACAATCTGTGTGATTTATTAGCAGGCTGCAGCTAAGGTCTGCATGTCATTGTAAGTCTGGAGAAATCTTTTCTTTCAAGCTGAGGTGTCTCTCTGTCAAGGACATAATGTATGCTGCACTGTGTCTGCTCTGTTTTCTCACCAAATAACTTCAAAAAGGCCTTAACCAAATGGTACAGTCTGGTGATATCTTTCATTTAACTGCTTTTCATTTATTTTTAAAAACTGTCAATTCTTACATTTACAGCCCAGGTGGAATACAAGAAACTTTACATTCATGTTCAAATTAACTTAGAAAGTTTATACATTTCTAATTTTAACTGCCTCCACCTTGGGCTATGTTTATTTAAGGATCACAGTCTGTGAAACAGGGAGAAGTAGATAAGTGAGGAACTAGGAATTTACATGAGAAACGGGTTCCCAGCCTGGATTTAAACTCTTAACATTGTAATGGTGAACAGACTTACAGAATGAGATTAAGCCTAAATCTGCATTTAATGGAGCAGATCTGAAGCGGCCTCTACTTGAACTCTGAAATGTGAGAATGTCACACAGGGTAGCCTATTTGACATGTCACCCACTGGTGAGAACTCTGAGGCTTTGATTGAGTTTTATCAATTAGCTTTGTGAAGGAAAAAAACTGTGACTGTCTTCATAGTGTGAGAGCCTCACGCCAGCCAGGCTGAGGAGCTGCACTGCTGCAGCGTTAAGTAATAACAAGTTTGCTTTGTGTCATCTGGAGAAAACTGATAATCAAACAGTTAATTAAATTCCACAACAACTGTCCATGTTTTTATTCACCTCTGAGTTTTATGGTCATCATCTACAAATTTTTAAGAGTGTATGTTATATATAATTTAAGCAGAATTATGTACATGAACTCCAACTTCGCATTGTAAATTTAACTAAACCAGAAGTGCATGTGTACTTATTGTTACCAGAAATTTCAGAAACCAAACCACCTTTTTGGTCAGACATAAACCTCAAAGTTGGATGAACACTAAAACATTAAGTTTTAGTGTTCATCCAACTTTGTTGCATTAAGTAAAGCAAGATGTATGTGTGACGATGGCAAGGAAAATTGGACTTTTATGCTTTCCCGTAAGTGTGAATCAATTATTCTTTAAAATTATATATTTTTGTTTATATTTGTTGACTGGAGATGATAGTTGGCCCACCTTTTCATTTAACACAGCATCACTGATTACTGCCAAAAATAAAAATCCATGTATTTGCTATCTTTACTTCCCACAGTGGAATTGAAGCAGTATGCAAATATTCCCAGACTGAGAAATATTTTGACTAAGCTGGCTATATTAATCTTAGATCTTTTAACAGACTAAGCATTTTGTTCTTGTGTAAAGATGTGGTCCTCAATGTATAAATTGAAAGTTGCTGAAACACTAAATGTAAACACTTACTTGGGTTTATTTGAAATTTAAAGAAGTAACACAAGATTTCCAGAGAAGTTAAAATAGATACATTACTCTGTCTGAACCACTCCTTATCATGCCTCAAATCTTTATTTCTTTTTTTCCCAGAACAATTGGAGGAGGAGTCAGTTCTTGGGGTCAGCATTTGGTTGAAATTGAGTGAAATTATGAGTAGCCCACCCCTTCACCTAACAATCCCCCCCTCCTCCCTCCCTCACATCTCCTCTCTATTGACTGACTCTCCTGCATCATACTGGAGACCCCGTTGAGAGGATCTTTTCTCTCTATAAAGAGAAGATGCAGTTCAGGCGCCTTTGAGATCGCAAGGATTTACTGTGCGCCTCTCTGCTTCTAACTTCAGACGGGCATCCTCGGCTGCTTCAACACCAAATCATCTGGACTGCAAGCGTACAAAAAATATTTACCTAGTGGACTGAGGGACATTTGAATGACGCGGGATTTCCCAGTCTAGTCTGCCAGAGTGTCTGAGTCATCCCAGACCCGAATGTGAGCATCTTTTTTCTTTTGCGCTCCGAGCTGTAGTTTAGACTTAGTGCGTCGTCGCCTCTCGGCACAGTTTGTGTTGCAGGTGCGTGGAGAAGGAGCGAGGACAGATGGCTGCGCTGGCAATACAAAGGACTGACAACTTTTTGCACACCTTTTTACAGGTTTGTTGTATAATCATCTTTTTGACACAGTGCACGCGGATTTATTACCTGCTTTTGAGGTGGTGAAAGCCGCAACTTGTGCGTAAAGAATGAACATGCTTCATGGGCTTGATCCGTATGAAAAAATAATTAAACTTGATATAGTAGTAAAATAATTAGAAAATAATGTGATAACAAAAAAAATAAATGTAAGACTAAAATATTTAATGTTTAAAAATAGCTAATTCATTCCAACTTTGGATTACATATAGTGTCCATTTCTGGACGTTTTAATGATCATGTAATGTAAAAGAAAATGTTATATTAATATAATAATAATAACTTTATTTAAATAGCACCCTTAATAAACAGAGTTTTTCATAAAGTGCTTTTGACAAGACAAAGCAAGAACAGGATACTCAAAAGGAAATATAACAGAGAGCCAGGCACTGAAGCCAAATAGAGGCAAGACAGAAAATATTCAATATATAGTGAAGGGAGGAGAATTCAAGGAAGATTTAAAACTTTTAGTTGTCTTCAAAGTGGCCCATGTAATCTGACGTGTGTTTTTGTATCACCACACAGGACCGGACGCCCAGCTCCTCTCCAGAGGGAGCCCCTAACGCCCTCTCCTTCCTGGCCACCACCTGTAGCCAAGCCTGGCAGGTGGGAGGCACTATGGGCTCAGAAGGATCCCAGTTCCCCTACGAGGGCACCGTCAGCTCCACATCAGGAATGTTTCAGCTCTGGAGCAACGACATGGCGCCCAGCACAGCCCTCAGCACACACCAGATGACCTTCACGGTGCCCAAGGTGCAGTTCCCAGGACACATGCAGTCTAGCCTGGGTCACCATCATCATCACCCCCATCATCACCACCACCATGAGCTGCCTCTCACCCCACCGGCTGAACCTCCCTCTTCGTACTCCTTCGAACTCTCCCCCGTTAAAGTGCTGTCCTCGCAGCCACAGGCCAACGGCCCCTATTATCCTCAGCACAACAGTGTGGGACAAAACTTCCCCAGCTTCCTCCAGAACTCCTCAGCCAGGCATCACCTGCCTGGAGGCCATGTAGAGGACGGGCAGCAATGGTGGAGCCTACCCCAAACCAACGCCACCCCTTCCAACCATCCCTTCTCCCTTGGCAGACAGCTGGTTTTGGGCCACCAGCCCCAGATAGCTGCTCTTCTCCAGGGTACCTCCAAGGGCCTGCTGAGTTCTACACGCCGTTGCCGCCGCTGCAAATGCCCCAACTGCCAGGCAAATGGTGGGGGGTTAGAGTTCGGAAAGAAGAGACTACACATCTGCCACATCCCGGAGTGTGGCAAAGTGTACAAGAAGACCTCTCACCTGAAGGCACATCTGCGCTGGCATGCTGGGGAGAGGCCGTTCATCTGTAACTGGCTCTTCTGTGGTAAAAGCTTCACCCGTTCAGACGAGCTACAGCGCCACCTCCGCACGCACACTGGAGAGAAGCGCTTTGGGTGCCAGCAGTGCGGCAAGAGGTTCATGAGGAGTGACCACCTCTCCAAACACGTCAAGACCCACCAGACCAGGAAGAGCCGGTCTGGGCAGCCTTCACAGAGCACGGACCCTCTGCTCACCAATATCAAGAGAGAGTAATCTCTGTTGTCCATAATTCAAAAGAAATAATCAATCAATGAACAGACTGTGTGACTTTACACTTACTGCCATAGGTTTGCACTAGAGGGTAAGCATCAAGCTCCCCGAACATCTTCTGTTGTCAAAGCCCTACTTTTGACTTCAAGTAGTACCATAAGAATATATTTAGAGACCATTTTTAATCAAAGTAATTGTGTGCAATTACAAGGCACCTTTAAAGAATACTTGAAGCCTTCTGCAGTAATATTGTAAGAGTTTGGCTGAATTCAGTGTACTTTTCAAGTTGCCACACAAACAGATTTCAACTGATTTCTTTAACAATTTAAGATTTCTTTAAATTTCAACCGATGTGAAAATCTTTTCAGAAATAATTCTGTAAATATTTTATCCATGTGAAGAATGTTGCAGACATGAGCAAAATGACACAAGGTTTACCTAATACGTTGTTCATATTATCATGTTCAAGATAAACGTATGCCTTAGTGCAGCGAAAATGATCATTTCTGCTCTCGAAAACCAGTTCAGAATGGGAAAATTTTTCTCATGTCGCTAATAATTAGATTTTTATTCCAAAACGTATCCTAATTTCTCTTCTTCAAGGTAGGGATCTTTTTTTAAATGTGAGTCTTTGATCTACAGATTTATCTCGTCTGCTCTTAAGCAGCAGCGTGAAGCACCATTGCTCCAGATTAGCAAGCATTTTAAATTTTTAAGTTCTTTGTAAATTATGTATAAATATCATGTACAATTTTATTGGGGGTTATGGCCGCATGTACATTTTAATAAACATTGTCCTTGCTGAAACAATTTCACAGTTTCTAATAATGTTATTTTCTTGCATTTTGACGACCGGTTGTGAAGTAAATATCTATGACTTACAGTGAGAGTCAACGGTTTTAACTTAGCTCATTCAAAAAATGTGTGAAACTCTGATGCCCCTGAGCTCCTAAAGATCTAACATTTTATTTAAATGATAATTCAATTGCATTCAGATTACAAAAGCTCCTCATTGTGCTGCTGGTGTGAAGGAAGAAGCTCCTAAAGAAGACCTAACATGGTGGGCTGTTCAAAGATTTTCACACCTCAAAGTAAATACTCAATCCATTGATGGGGCTGTTTGTCTCGCCTGTTGCAATCAAGTTCACAGTCATGTGGCTTTTAATGAGTGTTTTCTTTCTCTCAATGGAGAAGATTGAGTCAACAGATGCAACAGAGGGCACTGGAGAGGAATTCCCTGTGAATGGGACCCCTGTTGTTGAGACCCCCTCAGTGGTGACAGGAACTCCCTTTGATTTTGCACCCTTGTGAAAGTTAATACCCCTTTCTCCCCCCCGTCCCCAGCCTCCATATATCACAGCCGTGTTACGATCGGCCCTGCTTTACTGCTCAGAATGGGGCTTTATTCAGAGGCCAGCCAACCAGATGTCTGCTCATCCAGGGGTTTCTTCTCTTTGTTTTTAATCCTGTTTGAACTTTTTCCAAGGGGGATGCCGAAGCAAGCAAAATGCTTTGCCTTTGTCTTTATCAGGGGATCCCAAAAGTGGAGTCCAAGGACCTCCAAGGGGTCTATAGCAAAATTATACTTTAGTTACACTATTAGTTAAATAATTAAGGAATGAGCATACTGTGAGAATGCATATGGATGTCAGTGTTAATCATCAGAAGTGTACACAGTGCTTACAGTATATAAAATTTCACAGGACAAAAGAGATAAGTGTCTGTATATTAAAAGTATACAGGTTTTTTAATCAAGGCAATCAAGAAAGATTGTGCAGAGAAACTCAAATACTCCAGTCAGTTTCAAAAAGACACTTTTTTATTTGATATGATACAACAGTTTCTACTCAGTCAAACATGGCATTAACCAACCCTTTCTTGGTTTCATGTCCTTGCTTTTGGTTCTCTGTAGTGGTATTTACTTTGTGTTAATGCCTGATCGGTAATTCCCATGAAAACACGCAAGTTCACAGTAACTGCAGATGGATTCTGTGAGATGGTTCCACTCACCTAATGTCTCACCTCTCATTTTACTTTGTGTGATTTATTGTTGATTCCTGGACAAATTATTCAGCAGCTTTTACTTTATTGCGAGAGCACTGAAATATGAGGCCTATTGATCTTTGGTGCAGCTGTATGATACAACTTAAATGGAAGTGAAAGCCTTTGGGGCCCTCTACTGGCCACAAAGAAGAACTGACCCGATATTGACAGGATGGCCCCCTTTATCTACTCAGCTCTTATCTTTTTGTTACTTAGGTGTCACAATCCAGATAGTAACACAGATATCTACAGTTGTTTAGGAAGAGTAGTGGCAAACTGAACTATAGTATAGAGTATTTGAGCTGTGAGCTTCTATTTTTGGCACTGTTGTCTGAGGAAGAGGGAGCATGCAGATTCATCAGCATCACTTAGTTTGTCCAGCAACATATTATCCTTCATTTTAACCAACTGGAACGGTAACATTTCTCGGCATACCTGGGTCATTCTTCAACATACAAGTGGAAATGTATGGTTGCCTTCATGGTATGCACTGTACAGTATTTAGTCCACAAGGGCAAAAGCTAACAGAGATTATAGAAATGGTGCACAGCCTTGACATGACAACAGTGGACTAATAAAACAATTCATATTAGTTTAAACCAATGCACTTTTAAGGACCAGTGTCCCCAAAACCACAAGCACCCCTCTTTGACCTGGAAATAAAAATCTGTGTAAAGTAACATTGTGACAGTCAGTCATGGACATGTTTCATGCAACAATTTGGGTCAGCACAGCAGTCCCTTTGAATGCAACTACTGTATTTAACAACTGCTCTGGAGTTGCCCAAAGAGCAAAATGTATTCTAAAGTGACGTCATACCCAAAGAGAACCTCCAGGGGGCTCTATCACACCTTTTTTGTCCAGATCAAAGGAGGGCAAGTCAAACAGAATAAGAGAGCACACAGGAGCTCTCAACACTGTGGCAAGAAAAAAAGTTCTTCTCTTTCAGTTGAAATTCGAGTGAGTTAAGTCCTTGTGGCATGTTCACATCAAGTGTTCTGCTTTTCCCATTCTTATCGACATAAACAGCAAACTCAGTTGTCAGCAGGGGAATGACAAAATGTATCAATGTAGCTGTACGTCTTCACAATGGGGCATCAGAATTACCACTGACCACCTGCACACTCAAACACATCCACATATTGTTGCATAAACATACATCCAGGCACACATGTAACTCCAGTGACCGCCCCAATTAGGAATGAATATTTCATTTTCATTTCATCAAAAAAAATTCCCCTTGCCCTTTGAAAGAGAGAAGAGTATGGTATACAAACTCTCAAAAAGGTAAAAAGCAGAAATTGTCATAACACTGAGTGTCCAATGAGTGTTTTTACTCTGAGCCCAGTAACATCCCACTGGATACTGTTCATGTGCACTCAAGGTAGCCAAGGCTAGTCACCTCCCATTGAATGGCTCTCTAAAAATAGGAGCAACATCATTTTATAGTTGCAGCCCATAATTCCTTCATATGTTCCTTCAGGTTCCTTCATTATCTTCCAGAAATCATGACTGAACCAGCTAAGGGTCCAGCCTGGCATAAACAGACAGTAGACAAGTCTTCTTGTCTCCACAGCTGTGGCGTTAGCTGCTGTCCTCCTAACCCAGGAGACAGATAGTGTCAGAGTTCATAGGTCGTCCTCGGCTAGCTGACCCAGGTTGCTGGGGCGTCGTCCAGCTGAGGGGCCTGACAATGGAGCCTGGCTCCCAGCATCAGTAGCTTGACCCCTTCGGCAGCCCTCTCCTGCTCTCTGCTGGGGAGAGAGGGTACATTCATCAGCTGTAAAGTACTTCCATGTACTGCACTCACATAAAAGTTTGTTTTCAATTGTATACTAGACAAGAATATTATAGAAAACTTGCCAAATATTTAATGGGAATTTTGTCTATCAGGATTTTTTCATTAACAGCCTCAGGCTAAAAATGCATTAGCTCTAGTTCCATCTAACCCCAGCATAATATGGGAAACTATTATCTGCCTTTGATAGGCATCTATCTCTGATTTCCTCATCTGGCTCAGCCTGCTTCCTGTTTGTTTTGTGCCAAGCTTATCCAACCTGAGTAAACACATAGAGGGGTGGAGAACAACAACTGCTGGCCTGTCCACACTGTCTCACTCAGGACAACAGCCCACTGATGATAGAGGGAGACTAGGCTAATGATAATGTCAAGCCCAACAACAGGATGCTCCTATTGTTCAATGGCCAGATGGACAATACAGCCTGAAATTTGGGGAAATTATATATTTTGTGTAAATGTGTGGAATTTCCCTTGTTGTATTCAACTTAGTGCAGCTAACATTGTAATCAATTTCCATCATAAATATCCCGATTTGTATTGATTCCCTTTTCATCCAATAGGGGGAGAAATAGCCCTTCTTATGACTTGATCCCTTCACTGTATGTGTCTAAATAAATGGTTACAATTTACTAGACTCTTTCATCTTTTAATTAACATTAATGAGCACAATGGAATGATTGTTACAAGTCGAACAATGGCCCATTATTTCCCCAGTGGTTAGCTTTCTGTGGCTTGTTTTGTCATTAATTTTCCAATGCTGGTGTTAGACTGTATTGTCTAATGACTGCTAGACAATCCAGTAGCACAATGGGCAAAATAATGACCCATATAGACAGCTTTGTCTCTAAATGCGTATACACTACCTGTGCACTTTGTGTGGTGGGTGTGTACAGCCCATTTGACACAGCTTGACAGTTTGGCTGATCAGTGAAGCCCAGTTGGACATGTGACGGAGAAACAGTGTGGGAGTCAGCAGGGCATGGCTGGACCACAGTGGGCTGCAGATGCAAACAACAGGCAGGTCACTCACTAACACTTTATTGCATGCACACAATACCATTTGTTGTTTTTATTATTCCATTTGTGTGAGAGTCCAGTCCTACAGCCAAAAAAGCAAGAAAAGATAAGCAGGCCTGGTCGTGTCTGGTGTGGTGGTGAAAAATATAATTACTGTGTATGAGTGGGTAGTTATTGCAGGACAGTGTCATTGTATGTAGGGCAAAGGAAAGAGACAGCTAAACAAAACCTACGTCCCGCAGTAGGTATGTCTCGTTGGGTCCTTGGCCCTGGCCTTGGCTGGGCAGGTAGAGCGTGGGCAGGGAGGTGTTGTGAGAGTGAAGGGAGGGCAGCTT